GTTTTTCTTGAACTTGCGTGTTGGGAGAGATGGTGAAAGAAAGGCCAAGTCATCATCATTTTGCTGCCTCTGAAGGCAAACTAATTTCCACCACCCAGTATCTGGGTTACTAGTTCCCTTCCCCTCCCAGCAGTGGGCTGAGGCTGTGCCTGCCTCTCCACATAGATCCCAACTCTCCCATGATTTAAAGATTCCTGAATCCCATTAGCCACCACTGGAGCTTGTGATCCTCAGCGGCTCAGCTCACTCTGGGACCCCAGGTGGAGCACGGCCAGCAGCTGTTCTCCAGGCAGTGCAGCTCCCTGGTTATTAGGCAGGCAGATCTTTGTGAGCAGCATTGGGAAAGCAAAGGAAAGGAGACTTGGAGGCTTTCCTTTCCCCATCTCCCTTTGCCTGTGTGTTTGACTTTCCACTGTTGGGGAGTGGTGTTAATTCTGAAAGCACTTGGTTGTAGCTTAAAATGACTGGATGTGTTTGTGTGGGGACAGCTGAGATTTCTCACTATTTCCTTTCTTAAATCCAGAAGGAAAGTTACTGAAGGGACCAATTTGTATGCTTCTGCAAAGTGATTTAGGGCAGCATAGAAATCATCTGGTGGGATAGGTGAACTTGCTCTTACCTTCATCACAGAACATTGTCTTGCTTTATCCTTGCTTGGCTGTATTTTCTCATCATCATAGTACTAGGGTAAATAAAAACTTCTGAAATTGTCCTGAGTTTCTCTTCCCTGAGCTGTGCCATCCCTTGACGGATTATTTTTATTCATTTATTTATTTTAAATTCAGCTCCTCAAATAATTTCCTTGTGCTATAAAGCTTGGGGAAATAGTGTTATTCTCCACTTACTCCCCAGGTGTGTTTCTGAAAGACAGATTCTCATAGGGGTCTCACACCAGTTGCAGTGCTGGGGCAGGTCAGGACTCTCTTTCACTTGGCATCCAGAGGCACTAGACAGTGATGTTTAGGGAAGTATATTAAAACAGGGCAGGCATAAAGTGATTTTCTTTTTCTTTGGTTGTGTCCTCCCTGCTTGTGGCACTTCTGAAGCTATAGTTGCCCTCTTCTCTCTCCCTACCACTATGTCCAGCAAAGTGCTTCTGAATTCTTCATCTTCTGAGACATATTGTATAAGTACGCAGGATTATCTTGCAATAATGGTGCAGGGGGGGTTGCCTTTGGAAAATGGGCTAAAATGGTGTGATTGAGCTGTTCGATTAATATTCCTTACATGGATTTGCTCTAGTAGCTTTTGTTTGGGAGTTCCTCCACTGACAACAATGGTCAGATACTTAAATCATTCAGATACTTAAATCGTTACAGTTTCGTAAATGGTGATGTAATGAAAATGACAAGTCATTGAGTTGCCATCTGCATGCAGGAAGAATAATCTGATATTAGCGTGCAGCGATGAATGGAAGGGCAAGCAGAGTTGGGATTTTGTGCTATGGCCATAAGCGAGCTGATGGGGTGCCACTAGGTGGCAAGCTGAGAGGTAACACGCCTGGTTTTATTTTTAATGTGCTAATTCAAACGGTTAGAAACAATCTCCGTGTACACAGGCTGGTTTCTGTGCGGCCGTCGTGTGCGGTTTTTAGTCTTACAGGCAAAGTCGTTCTGATAAAACAGCGTTGTGGTTAGAAATCCCTAGAGATGCTGACAAGTCCATTTAATCTCTGAAGGGAAATGTACGGAAAGGGAGAGGAGAGCCGCTTCAAGCTTGATTTAACCACGTGAGTCTTGCAAAAGTGTAGCTTACTGCAGAAATTACTGGTAATCAGACGTGCTGTCACAAACAGAGAGCGAATGTATAAAACACTTACACCAGCCCCATCACAGGCCAGACAAAGAAGGTTTCAATGGGAGTTTGTATCCGTAGATAATGGCTTAAAGTGGTAATTGATGCCAGCTGCATAAAATCACTAGGAAGGGCTCACCAGCTGCCTCTTTCCTCCAAGAAAAAAAGGATATACTTTTGTATTACTTCATGAGAATGACAATCTCTCGCCTCAGTCATTTTTAATTTTCTCCTTTTGTGATCCTGGCACCTCTGCAAAAGGAGGGACTGTTAGTGGTGGTGCAGGGCATGTGTTGTCAGGAGGAGGTGAGGGACCTTCTGTCTCTGAGGCTCGTTCACATGCCCAAATCCTGGGATGGCCACCAGCACACCTCTGCACAGTAGGATCCCTCTGCAGGCTGCAGCCTGTCCTCTCTGCGGCATATGTGTCCATAAGGAGACCTATGCGGAAACAGTCTTATCCAGTGAGATTTTTGGGTGGGATTCGTCTCACCCTGATGTGAGACATCTGCAAGAGTGGAGTCTGGATCTTTGCTAATGACCTCATCCTCCTTTTGTAGTTAGAGGGGGAGAAGTAAACACCAGTAGGGTGTGCATTGTTTGGTCTCTTTCAGATGTCCACGTTGGGTTGAAATCAATTGGACCCTTGGAAAAAAAAAAAAGTTCCTGATTCTGGAACAGAAAAAATTTGGTCTGGTCATCTTTATTTTTATTTCTATGGTTTTTATTTCTTTTCTTTTTTTAAAGTCTTACACCAGTTGTTGTACCACAATGGTACTGCAGACCTTCTGCATGCCAATTAATCCTCATGATAGCTCCTGTCGCCACAAAGTCTTCAGGACTCAGTGCCAGAGAGATATCGATCCACACTAAGTGAGTGGAGTCCTCCAAAGGCCTGGCAAGAATTACTGAATCCATTTATTTTTGTAGGCTGGAATTTGGACTGGCTTGAACTGTAGGTGAGACGCTGTTTGCATTGTGGACAAATGCTCAATGACAGTTGAAATAGGAGTTTGGGACCATTATTAGCCTTAGTTAAGGGAGATGCTTGGGGTTGCTTTAGGCCACTGAGCAGGTGCTTTGACACAGCCATAAGGAAAAACTGGAAGAGCAGTAACTGCCTGCAGTCTGCTGGGTCTGTGTGCACCTTTTTTTGTTGTTGTTTGTTCTTTGGGGAAGTGTTTGTTTTATTATCTTATTTTTCAGAAATAGATCCTGTCTAAGCATTGTCATTTTGGCTGTTGTTACAATACATAAACATGAAGAACCTTTAGGACATCCTGCCCATTGTATTGTAAACACTATTGTGTCCCTGTGCTGAGGGTAGGAAATCACTTTCATATAAAAATCTCAGCACAAAGTAGCAGATTAATCCAGTTATGCATATTAACCTATCAGCAATTAAAATCCCAAACCATTAAGTTTAATAAAGCTCCGCTTACAGTTTTTTTTCCTAAATTCAAAGTTCAGTGTAGTAGTTTCTAGCATAAACATGCATTCATATGGTCTAAGTAAATAACAGAATCACACGACAGCAAGGACACCAGAAGCAGCTGAGGAAGCACTGAGTTAGCTTTTGGCTCAAAAAGCTGTTCTGATAGTGGTTTCTCCCAGGGCTGCTGTTCACTGGGAACTTTGATTTACAAGATTATTTTACTGTTTTGTTCAGTGTTCCAGAAATACACAGTATTTTACTTTAAAGATGCATCATGAGAAGATTTAAGAATAGTTCATCCCTGGTGCATTTTGGGAATTCTTCCATAATAATTTACGAGTAAGCACTGCATCCCACTGTTAGTGTATTTGAAATAATTGTTTGCTTTATAGCATAGGGTGGTTTCTTGTGCTAAAGCCAGGGATGCCAGTGTATATAAATAGTTAACATGTACTTAGTATTAACATCTGCATAGGTCGTGAATAGGATATTTGATTGCTTGCATGGTACAAATTGCAAGGAAGTTTAATGCTCAAAATTTTCTCATGTAATCAGCTTTGACATTACAGGATAATCAAAATATTGATGCTACCGTTTCCATCAGCCAGCCACCCTAGGGAACAGGGGTTTCGGTTTCGTCCTGGTTTAAGGTAGACGTTTTCCCCTGCATATCTAAGGCTAGAAAACTGTGGAGTGAATAAAGATTGTGCCTAAAGGGGTAAATGCAGCTGCCTTTTCATTCATTGCCTTAAGAGGTGCTAGATGAAGGCTCACACTGTCTAGGTGTGGTAAGGGAGCTGGGGGTGTGATGGTGTCGTCTTCTTCTGTATCCACTGGCAGCCTGCTTAGACATCACCTCAAAGCATCTGTGGGTCCTTGCATGCAATCCATCCTACCGTCACTTCAAAACTGGATTGTGGGTGTTTTTAAGGAGCGGTTTCATAGTGTTGCCCCTTTCAGCTCTTTGAAGGTGTGACCTCCTTTCACCCAAGCTACTCTCTGCTTGGCACCTCTCTGAGGTGGGGGGAGCTGGGGGAAATCCTTCCTCTGCCTTTGTGTCCCAGCATCCTGTTTACTGCCCTGGCTCCTGGCCTGCTCTTCCTGATGCACTTGCTCTTCCTCCATGGAGGCAGATGGAGGAGGAGGAAACCTGTGCACGAGGCGAGTGCCCTGACTCTGTGGGGAGGCGAATTCCTGTTTTCCACCTCTGCTTTCCTGAGCCAGCCTCATGCTGGCACCAAGGGGGAACCCTGCGGTCCCCACCATGGGGGGCTCCACTCAGAGGGCCTGCTTTGGTGTCCAGCTGCATTATGCCACTATCTGGCATTTAAATAGAAATGGTTGCAATTTTGAAAATCTAAGGAGAAAAAAATGAGGAAGATGGAAATAATACTCCTCTATCATAAATGCACAGATTTTTCCGGTTTCCTAGTTCGCTGGGTTACGTAGAGTAAAAGCCTGCTAGCTGTATGTTTGTTTAAGGTATTATAAGCATAGGGGTTTTAAACAGATCCTGTCTTGCTCCACTATTGGATGAAATCCAGTGCATCCTTCAGTTGCTTTTTTGCACTATTAAAAACTTGCGAAAGTAAAGGTCTGTTTTAGACCATCTCAATAAACAGGATTTTGATGGCACGAATGTCTCCTGACCATGATGCTGGTATAAATTGAACTTTTAAAGAATCTACTTTTGTGAAAGAGAAGAGGACATAAATAATGCATGTGGTGTGTTAGACATAGTTTTTTTGTGGTTTGATTTTTTCCCCCAAAGGACGAAGAAGAAGAAATCAAACTGGAGATTAATATGCTAAAGAAATATTCTCATCATCGAAACATTGCAACTTATTACGGTGCTTTCATTAAGAAAAGTCCTCCAGGACATGATGACCAACTGTGGGTAAGCAGATATTTCTCAAGCACGTGCATGATTTTTTCCCTTTTGGATATAGTTTGAGGATAACAGATATATCACATTATAGAAAGACAAACTAATAGAATTTGGTGCTTGCCTGAACTCATAGATAACTGAATCACATAGGCTAATCATGCATCCTTAAGAGGATGGCTGAGACAAGATTCATTGCTATTAGCAGTGGATGTGCTCTTTAAGTAACTTTTTCTCCGGTTTCCCAGATGGATAGTAACGTGTTTCATAGGAACAAGGCAGATGAACTCAGCAGTAAGAATGTGTGGCTGTTAAAAAAAGGCTGCACTTGAGAATTGTACCCATTACATTTCTCATCCCACTTCATCTACACTCTCTAGAGTATTGAAGTTTGGGCTTGAAATGGCAGGGTACAGACATCAGTGTGTGTTCTTCCATAAATAAATGTAAGTTAAAGAATAAGATGTGTTGCAATGGTGTGATCAGTTTGATTCCTTCAGCATTGGATATGCTCTTACTGCTGTAGCTGCTAATGCATTTTGCATAGCTGAGCAAATCCAGATTCCCAGCATTAAATTACAGTGATTAAATCAGTCCTTGAAAATGTGGTAACTAATGTGAGACATATTCCATATACGTCTGACACACACTGGAGACATTTGGTTTGAATCCATTTTCCAGGCAGAGATGTAAGATAAATTATATTCTCTGCTTCACAAGGGTTTCCCAAATCCGTGCTGCAACCTGATCATTTTGCTTTGCTAGACAGCTGGGAACTGTGTTTAATGTTGGTTGCATGCTGATATTTGTTTTGCAGCTTGTTATGGAGTTTTGTGGAGCCGGCTCTATCACAGACCTTGTGAAGAACACGAAAGGGAATACTCTGAAAGAAGACTGGATAGCATATATCTCCAGGGAGATTCTCCGGGTAAGGAAAATAGTCTGCTCCACTTGAAAACACAGAAACACTCTTACAGAGAGGTAGCCTAGCTTGTGGTTCTGCAAGAAGCCGTTTCTGATCAATTCTGTTAGCTTGGAGAGTGCTTGGGAACTGATAGATGTCTGTTCCACATCGTTTAACTTGGTGTGAGTGGTACTGTATTGTAATAGCAGCCTTGCAGAAAGTAGCAATTTTTAGTGAAGTCAAGGGGAAGAACCAGTGACCTTACCTATTGCAGAAGCTGTCCATAAGACACTCTTCTAGAGAAGGTTAAGGTTGTAACAGAGTCGTAACACAATAGGGTGTGGAATGGTCTTTTCCATATGTGCTTTCAGCCATAAATAACTGCTGCTCATCAAGTCTGGGGGGGAAGGGGGTTGTTGGCCTAGGCCAGGGATCAGGATTTCTGTACTACCATGAGCTCTGATACTGTGTATTCCTGCAGTCTGCCTAGAGCAAGCAGCTGTGCTTTATGTGGCTGTGTGCTGTGTAGTGCTAGCAGACAGCACTGTAAAAGTTTCTCAGGAAGAGGGTTGCCACTTACCAATTTTTCTAAAACTGAAGCTTTAACTAATTACTCTTCGTATTTAATTTCCAGTTGGTAGACTTTAAGTGCTTTTTGAATTGTCATTTGTTCGCCGCCCTAAGTAAATCTGGTATGGTTTTCCTCGTGCTTCTTTGTAAAACAAATTGCCGCCTACCCATACCACTACACAGTATGTTTGTTCAGTTGCCTCATCATAAACGAAGTTCTGAAGAGCTTTACGTTAAAGTAAACCACCACTGGCTCTTGCATAAATCAATGCTGCTGTTGTCTGTGATGCACATTTGCCCTGCCTTGGCAATTTTTAAGATGGTGAGAGGGGGGAGATCTATGATTCTGGTCTCGCGCTCCAGTTCCCAGTGCTAGGAGAGTCCAGCTGCTGGTGTTCGGGCCAGCATGTTTTGAGTTTTTTATGAGGGAGAAGAAGAGTTGAATACCTACTGATGGTTGTATTTCAAATCAAATAGATAGCATGCTTTAATACAGGGAAAGCTAACTTCTGCAGGACTGATGTTATGCTTGATCTGAGAACTGTGTCACCTTGGAGGTATTGCGTGCTATGCTGCGTTCACCCTGGGTTCTCCTTATGTAAAGTAGTTAACGCTCACTGAGAAGAAGAAAAAAATTGTTTACCTCAGAGAAGAGTTAGGTGAAAGCTATTTTCTCATTCCTGTGAGAGATTAGCAAAAGGAGCCTTCATTGCTTGACAGAAGGAACTGGAATATCTGGAAAGAAGGAATGTTAAACTCACATTGCTATGAGACATTGCAAAACCTGATTCGGCACAGAGTTTGTCATAGAGGAGAGAGGTTGTGTAACAGAAAGTTAAAATGAGCTAAAGTGCTAAAGGTAGGTGCAGGTAGAGTCACAGGTGAGGGTCGACCCAGTTGGAGGGGCCTGGGGGATGCAGGAGTATGGAGACAAGCTCCTCTGTCTCCTGCCAGTGCTTCGCAAACCCAAATGTGTTTTTTCAGTAAGGCTAGGTGGTACTCTGGAGAGAACAGACGATTATCTCTCTGGCTGGGTCGGTGTAGCACAAGGCTTTAAAAAGTATCCTGTGTGAAGCTGTGGAAAAGCCTGCATTCCTGTGAAAAATAAGACCTTGCTTAGCATTAGGAGCCAGTGAAGGGTCTTGGGGACATGAGCTGTTCACTTGATTTGCTCGTGACATGTGTGGGGAGGAGCTGAGCATGGTGGGGTTTTTTGTCATGCTCATTAACTGTTTTAAAAAAAGAAAATAGCCCAATAGTTATGTAGGCAAACTGGTAAATGATCATTTAATGAACAACATGTGTTAGGAAATATTTCTCTACAGCAACCACTACTCCTAACCTCTTGCAGCTGTAAAGGTTCTGTTTCTTTATTTTTCATAAAACATTAAAAGCCTATGAGGGCAACACGAACAGGCAAGACGATCCCACTGGAGACTACAATTTTCCGAGCAGAGAGCTGAGGAGAAACCGAAATACAGGCAGTTGCTAAGAGGGTTGCCTGTTGTTTTCCCAATTACATTAGAGAGTAAAATGCAACATATGTCTTCCTCAGCCCTCCCTCCACATGGCTAACGCTCTGGGGCATGCATCCAGGTGCTGTCTCAACAAAAAGCACCGTATGCCAGGAGGTTTTGTTTCCTTTGGAAAGTATAAAGCTCATACCTTTTATTTTTTTTTTTTTTTCTTTTGCATGTGTTTTGGAACAATTATCTGGCTTCATGGCCAGAGAACTACAGCTTTGCAGCAGAGCTTTTGTTTCTTGTCACTTGTCCCTTGTCCTCAGGCATAACTGCCAGTGCATCACCACCCCAGCCCCCGCTTCTTGGGGGTGCATATATGCATGTTCATGCTGCTTCCTTTCTCCCTCCACTCCCCTTCCCTGGACTAAATTCTGGGTGACTCTGTGCGTGCTGGATGTCAGTGACGTACACTGATGCTGATGCCGTTTACAGTGTCGATGTGTGGAGGCTTTCTGGGAGCTGAACTTTTCTTCACGCAGCGACTGAGAGGTGTTTGCACAGGGCAGATGTTGGGCTGTATTTAGTTACAGCATGCGTATGGCTGGGGCCTGTGTCTCTGCTCCATTACCAAAAGCTGTGCGGGTGGTGTGCTACTTACTACGAAGGTTCTCGTGGGTTCCATTGCATTCAACCACTGAGCAAGAGCCCAAGACCCTGTGCTATGGACTTTGGGGGTGCTAGGAACAGGTAGCCTGTTGCTAAGCAAAGAGCCTAATTATGAACATCCATTCCTTCCCTTCTTGTCTTTAATGCAGGGGTTGGCACATCTTCATGCCCATCATGTGATTCACAGGGATATCAAAGGGCAAAATGTGTTGTTAACAGAGAATGCAGAAGTGAAACTTGGTAAGTAGGCATGCACGTCCACTTCCTCGTTTGTTCAGCCTTTGCTTTTATCATGTTTCCAAATTAAGTTCGTCTTTTAAAAGCCCTGCAACATGTTCTGTAGCATGAGTGCTCTGTCACTGCTCCTATGTGGTTTGAGGCCCTGCATGTATTTCCTCCTGCTTCAGGAAGATGAAGTACAGGTTGTTGTATTTCATTAGATGAGGTTGGCTTTCATGCCAGAATGAGTGAGGGGATCATTTTGTTTCCCTCACCAGGCTGTGTGTGACTTGTGTTCATTCTGATTCCCTTTATTCTGGACTTGGGAAGTCATGGGGATGTCTGTTCTATTTGGCTTTAATTATAGTAGCAGCTACTGTTCAGGTTCTAGACAGAAAAATACGATCAGGACAGCACTCTCAAGGGGCATCAAACTTAAAACGCAGTTCCAGCTCTGACATGCCTGCTGAAAACCATGCTCATCCCTGGCCTCCTTCCCTTTCCTTTCCAAGTGGACATACTCTTTTTAATTCCTCTGTAATCTGTCTCTTCCAGTTACTGCACACTTTAACCTTCTGAGTTTGTATCACACTGCACTCGCCACCTTTTTTTGGTTAAATATAGAGCCATGCTGAAGCCCTCCCACCCAGCCCACATTCCTTCTGTTTTGCATTACACCTTCCTGCAGCACAAGGCATGGGAAGATGTCCTGGCTGCTGGAGGAGGAAGCTCTCAGGAGAGCCTTCCTCCTTTTGGTCCACAGTGGAGCACAGTAACTTCCAAACCATTGTTCCTACCAAACTCATCTACACAAGTTTGTCAGTGTTGCCCAGCTGGTGGATGCAGTGAAGCTGACACAGCCCTCCTAGAGCAGATGCAGTTTCTGCTATAGAGAGACATATATCACTGTGGTCATGAGCAGGAAGAAAACACCCTTGTAATGTAATTGCCTTGTAATGAAATGGGCATCTCTTCTGCAACCTATGTGTGTGTGTGTGGTTAAAGTTAGCACCTCTTGAATAAGCCTCTCCTTTTGCTCTGTGCATTAGAGCAATTCCCTGAGCAATAGATTATTTTTCTGTTCAATTCTAGAGCAGAAAAGGTGGACAGCAAAAAGGGAGATATGTTCATGCATATTGTTTTCCCATAGCATGAGAGGTACCTTTGGGAAGCAGATACTTCTGTATAGGTAAAGGTGGTTGGCTTCACCATTTGGGAAGGGAATAGCCCTTCTTCAGCCTCCCAGGCAGTATTTTTGCAGCTGTACACTCCCTTCTGCACAGGCAGGCTGGTAAGAGGTGCAGGAGAGGTGGTCATATGGTGCTGTGTCCCTTGATGCTTGTGGCCCAGGCACATTGCATGTAAACCACAAGGGTTTGGCTGCCTCACTATTAGTCATGGTATTTCTCCTCAGCATGGTTCTCCCATGTGGCACATCCACAGGGTTTTATTTCCAAATCACCTTACAGAAGTAATCATTGCATTATTTTTCCCTTCTTATTTTATTTCATTTTACTCTTTTCCCACCCGCAGTGGATTTCGGTGTGAGCGCTCAGCTGGACAGGACAGTTGGCAGGAGAAACACTTTTATTGGAACTCCGTACTGGATGGCTCCAGAAGTTATTGCCTGTGATGAAAATCCAGATGCTACGTATGATTACAGAGTAAGAGAGTCCTGTTCACAGGGAAAAAAACCAGCCAAACAACAAACCAACATATAAAAACTATGCAGTTGCAGTATGAACATCCATGAATGATAGCAGTTTTTAAGACTTCTAATGCTTGATATGAGTAACACTGTTTTGTGTAGGTACATTCTTAATACAGGAGTGTAAGGTATGGGTAGTGTCAAATTACGACCTTTAACAGTTGATGTTACTTGTATTACCATAGCTTCGAGACATAAGGAGTATAGGACTTCAGTGTGCTGAAGTAGGTGCTCAGAGGAGGCAAAAAAGAGTTTAACTGGAAACGCTCATGTTCTCAATTTCTGTAATGATTGTACCTTAAACTGTGTTAGACCATGTCCCACTTATTATAGTAACCCAGAACAATGCGTTTTTGCCATAAATAGAACCACCGTCTGGAGAGCCAGTGAAGTACAGAAGGACCTCTTTAAACTGTGCCTATTCCTGATTTCACCGTACATATACATGTTGATAACAAATTATCCATTGCAGCATTTCTCAGCAAATAATTTTTTATGTAGTGTGCTGCAAACCAAAGATTCAATCACTGCAAAGCCATAATTGGCTTGATGGTATTTGTACTGCCATTAAGAATGTTATGTATGTGTGTTTGAAGTTAGATTTCTCTAGTGAAAGCATACTGTGATCTTAAAAGTTCTTCTCAGCTTGCTTTAATGAAAGCACAAGGAAAGAAAAAATGTGAAAATACACTTCTAAAAAAGATCTTGGACTAATGCAGTTGTTCCAACTTCTAACCAAGGGCAACTAAGATACCAGCCTGTGATTAATGCCTTACAATGAATTTTAGAGATGAAAATTAAATGAATTTGCCGAGATCGATAGTGCTGTTAGTTATCAGTATGTTTGTGTATGTCTATTTAAAAAAGCCAGATTATTTAGATTGGTGTGTTTGTACCTTTTGACTAAAATGGATCAGATTGATCCTATTTTTCTTGATTTAATCACTTTTTACATCCATCAGCTCATTGTACTAAAGATAATGCTTTATATCGTTGCAGATGGAGTTATTAGGAAGGAAGGGTGGCAATTAGATTATCTAGTAAAGGAGAAAAACTATCTTCAGTATTTGTTAATGCAGTAGTCATGTGAAAAATAACTCCCTGTGCCTCTGAAGACACCTGTTTATTGTTTCTCGTGGAGCCTGTAGGTCTCTCTCCCCCAAAAACCTCATGGTTGAAAGATTTTGTAAGATCATAAGGCTGTGCATTTAGCTTAAATGGCTGGATTGGACCAAGAGGAGATCGCCTTGCTAGATCTGAAAACGCTATCATTAGAAATACTTCTCTGCTTGTAGTAAAAGAGGAGCTGATTTGCTTGTTAGTTCTGAGTAATTTTTTAAAAAATCACTATTATGACCAGAAATGAAGACTGTTTTGCTCAACAACAGCTCTCTTTCAGCAGCAGCTTTCCTGGGGAGATTATTCCAATGGCTGATTGTTCTCATCATGAAAAATTTTCCTCTTGTGTCTAGTCGGAATCTCCCCTTGAGTAACTTGTGCCCATTAACCCTCATCATGTCTATGCAACTCTTGTAAAAATGAGTCCTTAAATACTGGAACTTGGTGATAAGGTCTCCCTAAGCCTTCTTTTATCAAGGCTGAACAAACCCAGCTTTCTCAGCCTTTTCTCATACAGCAGGCTCCCAGTCCTTTGATCATCTTTGTGGTCCTTCTCTGAACTTTCTCCAGCCTGTCCACATCTATTTTCGTATAGCAGGGACCAAAACTGAATGCAGTATTCCAGGTGTGGCCTGACAAACACTGAGTAGAGTTGGATAATGACTTCTTTATCTCTGCTGGTGATGCCTTTGTTGATGTCACCCAGCGCTCTGCTGGCTTTCTTTGCCGAAGCAGCACACTGTTCACTCATATGGAGCTTGTTGTCCACCAGGACCCCCAGGTCCTTTTCCACAGATCTGCTCCCCAGCCAGGTAGATCACAGCCTGTGCTGCACTGTTGGATTGTGTTTATCCAGAGGCAAGACGTTACATTTGTCCTTATGGAACTTTGTAAGGTTCTTGTTAGCCCAGTCTTCCAAGCCTATCCAGGTCATCCTGCAGGATGGATTTCCCTCTCAAGTGTCCACTTCCCTACTCAGTTTGGTATTATTGGCAAACTTCATCAGGGTACACTTGATCTCATAATCCAGATCACTTATGAAGATACTAAGCAACATTGGGCTCAATACCAATCACGGGGGGACCTCATTGGCGATGGGTTGCCAGCTGGGAAAGGAGCTATTCACCGCCCCGCTCTGGGTGCAGCCTGTCAGCCAGTTCCCCGCTAACCGCACTGACCACTCATCAAGGCTGTAACATGTCAATTTCTCTAGTAGGATGTTGTGGGAAACCATATAGAAAGGAGAAATCCAGGTAGACAATGTCCGCCATTCGCCCCACATCAACTGAGCAGGATACTTTGTCGTAGAAGGCAATCAGATTTGTCAAGCACGATTTGCCCCTGGTGAATCCATGCTGGCTTTTCCCAATCATTTGCTTCCTTTGACTTGTGATAGCCCCTAGGAGGTTTCTCTCCATCACTTTACTGGAGACTGAAATAAGACTTGATGGGCTTATAATTTCCTGAATCCTCCTTTAAGCCCTTCTGGTAGATGGGGGTGACGTTTGCTTTCCTCTGGTCTTCTGGGATGTCCCCCAATCTCCACAACTTCTCAAAGAATATGGGAGAGTGGCCTTGCAACATGAGCCAGCTCTCTTAACACCCTCGAATGGACACTGTCAGAGCCCACCTATGTGTAGGGGTTGAGCTCCTGAAATAGTTCACATACCAACTTTTCTTTCACTGATGGTGGATCTGTGTGTGTCAGCCTGGAGTTTAGTTCCCAAGGCCTGGGGCCCAACAGTGCTGATAAACATAGAGGTGAAGAAAGTGTTGAGAACCTCTGCCTTTCAAGTGTTATTGGTGACTGATTCACCTTGCCTGTTTAACAGCAGGCTAGTATTTTCCTTTTGCTTCTGCTTGTTGTTTACGTACCTGAATCATAGAATCATCTTGCTTAGAAAAGATATTAAGATCATCAAGTCCAACATTTCTTGTACTTTTTGGCATCTCTGGCCAATTTCAATTCTAGCCGAGCTTGTGCTTTTCAAACCACACCCTGGCAATGCCGTTGTTCAATCCTTTGTGAGCAAGGGAATATTGAAAAATCTGTTGTTTCATAGACTCAGATTTCAGGCAAATATATTTTTCGTTGTCATAACGTGAAAGTATTTTCATGTGTTACTCAAAAGGGTTGTTTGCTTACTCTGTATGGATACGCGTGTATGTTTCTGCATGTATATATATGTATTATATGAAAAGTATGACACTGTTACAAGACAAAAGTAGCTTGTATTGTTTAAATAGCTGTGGTATTTGGTTTCAGTCTCACCTACAGGGCCTCTGTAAATAGTACTGTCTGAATGGGTAAATCCACCTACTAACATATGGTGTTTCTCTTTTTATGCAGAGTGACCTTTGGTCATGTGGCATTACAGCCATAGAGATGGCAGAAGGAGCTCCCCGTAAGTGATACATGTGCTGCTCCAGTGGGCTGATTAAGACTGAAACGTATACTTGGGAGATGCTTGTTGTAATCTAAGCCTAGTTTTGAGGTTTCCAAAAGTATCCTCATGTTATTTCTGTTCTCTTTGGTTTTGCCTGCCATATAAAAATAAAATCCCATAAATAGCAATGCTTTCTATAAAGATAGGATTGTTTTAAGCACTTACAGTGCAGACTGCAGTAATTTAATTTCTATAGCAGGAATATTTGGAAGCTAATCGAGTGTCAGACTTCCTTCCTATGGGTAGTATATTGTGTTTTGGAGTTGTGTCTCAATTTTTGTATGGCCTGGCCTGGGATGCTGAAATGTCAGCCAGGGAGAAGGGGCAGTGGGACCTTGAAAAAAACGACCTTAATGAAAAAAACATCTGTAGCAATTGTTTCTGTGTTGGCTTTCTGTGGGTCTGGGTAATGCTAACATTGTTTCTCCTTTTGTTTCCACTCATCAGTGGGTGGTGGTGATCTTCAGTGACACGACTTAAACTGTAAATCTGCCTTCAACGCAAAGTGTTGAACTTATTGCTCCCTGCTTGAGAATCCTTATCTGTTGTTATAAGGGTGTTTTTGAGAGAGAAACCTAAAAAAACCAGAATTGCACAACTTCTATTAACTTATTTTCTGAATAATATAGCTTAGTCTTTCTGAATATCAAGGCAGACAGCACATACGTGCAAGGAGGGCAGGAAGATTTAAAAAGAAAAGAAATTAGGCATGATGTTTTGACTTTTAATGATATTTTTTATGGAAATCCTTATTGAACTATTGCTACTCTCACTCCCAACCAGACCTTTGTATTTAAAAATAACAGGCTAACGAACCTAAGGTTTGAGTTAATTTTTTTCCACACATAAAAAACTACCACCACCAGACAACAGCCCAGCTTAAAACCTCTGTCTTTGAAATAATCAAGTGGAAATGAAGTATTGATATTTTCCCAGCTAAAATATGGACATTTCATTACAGCTGCTGCCTGATTTTTTTTTTTTTTTTTGTTGTTATTAATGTAAAATTTATAAATCGAATCACAGCACTCTTGTTCTCATTCATATTTTAGGAAGTCTAATGGTTTGGTTTGTTTTTTTTAATCCCTAATTGCACATTTGCATGAATGCCCATGTGAGAGCTGCTCCCTGGACACCTCAGCCAGCGCTGTATTAACAGTGTTTGAGCTACCACTTGACCTCCTTTTTGCCATACCTTTTTGTTCAGTGCATTTGGTTGCCTGGGTGGCTTTCAATTAAAAGCTGTGTCCATGGGTTTTGTAAGCCTAGAATTGGACAATAATATTTTTTCATTTCCAAACCAAACCAGAGTTTAGCCCCAGTTTGTGTAAAAGCACAAGAGAGGCATTTGAGAAGTCAGCAAAAATCCAATGTGAATGCTGAACGACTCTTGCCTTGGTCTGTCCTCTGGCCTGTGGGCTCTTCTTCCTTCTCCAGTGGCAGCTGAAGAGTCCATCTCTAAGCTTGGTGGTCTAATGGGATCCACAGGCATCCAAGGGGCTTCTCTGCCAAGGTTGTGTCCCCTTATTTCTGAATTCAGAATCCTCTTCACATCAGTCTGTTTCTCCTGAATTTCTGTTGTGTGGAAAACATTACCTCTTCTCCAGTGATCGTTCAGGCTGAGACTGATGGTGCAAGAGGTCAAGCATGGGAAGATGGTAAAAACAGAGGGCTTACTTCTAGTGAATTTTCTTGGGCAGCCTCTCCCTGCTCTCTTGTTTCTCTGTGTTGGCTCTGCCATCGTGCTTTGCTATGGAACAGAAGAATCCTTAAGGCAGATAACCCAGACTCCCACTAAGTGTCTACTGAAGCCAATGTGACTTTTTTTTTTAACAAAAGTAATGGGTTTATATTTCAGTTCTGTAGGGAATCCTTTTTTTGATATAGACCCTCCCATGCTTCAAAACTGTCAGACTTCAGAGTAAAGAAAATCTTCCAAGTCTGGAGAGTAACAAACGAGGCATCATCCATGATGGGAGAGAAGGGAAGTTTGTATGGAACAGTAACTGTGACATTCTTTCCTTCTGCCATCATCATCTCCCAGTATTTTATTGACCGGAACGTAAGTTAGATTACTTGGGGCTGGAGGAGGGCCATGCACAGATGTTCCCATCATGGTCGATTCTGAAGGTTAATCCATGCCTCGATCTCTTTCTCTTTTTGGGGCCACCCTTATCACGTTGAGCTGTGGAATTGTTATTTTGGGCTAATTCCATTTAGCTGTATTGCTGTCTGTGTCTGCTGCATGTGTGGTCAGGGTAGCGGGAATGGTTGTGGAAGCTAAAGCCATGGTATTGAGAGAACAACTAAGCCAACATCTGTATGTTCTGTTTGGTTTTGTTTTCTTTCCTTCAGCTCTTTGTGACATGCATCCCATGAGGGCGCTTTTTCTGATACCCAGGAACCCTCCGCCGCGGTTAAAATCCAAGAAATGGTATGTGTTAGTTATATCTTATTCGTAGCCCTTTTTGTAGCATGATGTTTTCTTGTGTCTCATTGCATGCTGTTTTGTTCCTGCTTCCAGAGAACTATAAAGCAATTTAAGTTATCAAAAATCACTCTGTTATCTTCTGTGCCACTGAATCAAAGCATGAAATACAAAGCATGCATTGCTTATTTAGTTCTGTTTGTCCCAGAGAAATTTTGTCTTGAATTGTGTGAAAATAAAAACCAAGCTTTTTTTCTTGACAGAGCAGCATCTGTATTAAGGTGACAAATGGATCCATATTTTAAAAGATAAACTCTCACAGCACTCTTAACATGCAGTGTGTTTTCTCAGATGTATTGTAACACAGAAACAGAACAGTACTATAGTGTTCTAGATGCTAAGTTGAAAGAAGCTATTAAAACTAATGAAGGCTTTTACTATAATTATTGTAAACTACTGGAATTGAGTGTGTGCTTCTTGCCAGCTGAGAAAAGTCCATTAGTATCGGAGGATTTCCTCCCAGTTAATGGTTATAACTGGCACATACAAAATAGAAATACTCCCTAGAAAGAGGTTTCATATAGATTGAATGTGATCACAGGCTGCTGTGATCCTGTCAAAATAATGAAGTGATTTGACTACCTATTCAATATCAACATAACATAAACTTGGCTTCCTTGCTGGGCTTGGTCTTTGTCCGGATTGACTTATTTATCCACTTGTACTGTCAAGGCATCCCTCTCCCTCTTTCATGCTTGCTTTCTGCATATGTTAAGGTAATAGAGATGCATATACAGTATTTGCATAAGCCTTTCATTTACCTTTTTATTTAGAATAAGAACACTTAAGGTGTGAGGAATGAAAAGAAAGCAAAACAAACAATGAAGTTACCTTGAATCCAGCCTCTTAGGTTACAGTAGGAAAGTGAAGTGGTGGATGGAAACTGTTGTTTTTACACTTGACCATGGTAGTGGAAGTGTTTGCTGCCTAAGCACAGGAGCAGGTTGGGAGCACCTAGCAATCAAAAAGTGACTCTGGCCAAAGCCAGTGCTGCACTGGCTCAACTATTGTGATAGTGTGCTCACGGCAGGTTATGAGAAAATAGACCCGATGATGAAAAATGTGGGTTTGAATATTTCCATTACTGGCATTTTGCAAAGTGACTTCCAGTTTGGTGACTTCTGTCAGAAGCGGTCTTCTTTCAAGAGCTCAGATGAAGTGCAAATTTAGGAAGGTGGTGCTTCAGCTTAGCTAACTCCCATACCCTGTCACTTTATGTGGTGCGTGGTTCGGTTCAGTTCATGCCCTTAAAATGTGTTGGTGAGAATTTGTCCCCAGGTGCCTTTGTTGAACAGACAACACTGTTCAACACCCGCCTATTGTTCTATGAGGATTTTATGCATGGCTTTTCAGGTAAAAAATAAAATAATCTTAAATTCTTGTAGTCCTATCTCAGTGAGCCCAAGCATGTACAAAAGCAGCGCAGTGCTGCTTGAGTCAGGGGAAATGTTGGATGCAGTTCTTGCAGCTTTTGGTACGGCTGCTCTGAAACAGACGTACCCTTAGATAGCATGGGCAGGTGGAGACACATCAGAGCTGCCCTGCCTGTGCTCTGAGCAAGCTGGATGCTACCCAACAGAGCTGGGTTTGCATGATTTGCCTTCACTAATAGATCCTGCCTTTCAGGGCAATTATGCCTGTGAAAGAAGGCGCATCACTGTGAGGCTGTGCCTGAGCACTGCAGGTATGTTGGCATCACCCTGTGTCCATCCAGCCCAGTGCTCAGCTGGAGCACACTCAGCTCTGTTTGGAGGCACACTTGCAGACAGAACTTCTACCAACCTCTGGGATACAATACTTTTTGAGGGAAGGAATTAGACTTTGAGAAAGAACAGAAAAAAATGTTGGAGCTGAGTTTTGTTTTCCTCCCTGCATTCTCAGGTCAAAAAAGTTTTTCAGCTTTATAGAAGGTTGCCTAGTGAAGAATTACATGCAGCGACCTTCTACAGAACAGCTCTTGAAGCATCCCTTTATACGTGACCAACCAAATGAAAGGCAAGTCCGAATCCAGCTTAAGGACCATATAGACAGAACCAGGAAGAAGAGAGGAGAGAAAGGTATACAGCTTCTAAAAATCAAAGACTTGTTAAAAAACCATATTTTTGTTCTACTTTGCATTCTGAATTCTCACCCCTAGAAAAGCTCCAAACAACCCAAACCCTTGAAAGGTTCTTTTTTAATTTATACTTTGACTATCAGCAGGCTTTTTTAGTTTTTGTTCTGTCCTCTACAGAGAAAGTATCAATTCAAATGTCCTATTTTCAGATAAGTTAAATTTATTCACTTCTGGGCCTCTTCCATACAAGCTGTAAGCAGTATTTAGGAAGATATTGGCATATATGGCCCTTCCTTTTTTGGTCTATGGTAGGTTCATTCCTGAAATGATGCCATAAATCAGACTTGTGGGAAATAACCCATCACAAGAGCTATGAAGCAGATGTGCAGCCTGTTCTCTTTATTCAGGTGGTGCCGAAGTTCTCCAGGCGTCTTGTCTTACATATACAACCTGGTGTCATTCAGGGAATTTGCTGAAAGTCTGCTGCAAAGCGCTGTGCTGCTTTGCAAGTGTGGGAGGGTGGGCTTGTGTATGTAGAATGAGTCCTAGGGTCTGCAGTACATCTTCTCACTGAAGGGGATGGGAAATGGTTCACTAAGGCACTACTGCAACTCCCTGCTGTCCTAAAACTAAAAGTAAGCACTATCTAGGCCTTTGTTTCTTTCTCGTAGATGAGACAGAGTATGAATATAGTGGAAGTGAGGAAGAAGAGGAGGAAGTGCCTGAACAAGAAGGAGAGCCAAGGTAATAATTGATTTTGGGAGGGCTCTGAGCAGTCATGCCAAGTAAGTCCAAAGGTCTGTGACTATAAATCAGGAGCATGCTAAATTTCTGTCTCTTATTAAATGCACGCGTAAGCCACACCAACCACCCATAGGGTCTGAATACCTATTCTGTGATGCTAAAGGTTTTAAAGCTCACCCTTACATGGCTTAGAGCCAGCGAGCTCTGGATGGAGGCAAATTTATGGCAAATACGATTGGTCAGGGGCTCCACAGTGTCAGAGTTGGTCCTTATTTTGCTTGGCCTCGTTTCACGCCTTCCACTGAGAGCGTGCATTTGATAGGCATCCAGTGTCTTTGCTCTGAAAAAAACAAGATTAAAATTTAACATCATGCTATATTTTATTAATGTTCCCCTGCCTTTGGAAAAGGTATTTAATGGCCCATCAGGCTTTATTGTACAGGAGCCTTTAACTTCCTCTTGTTGCAGTTCCATTGTCAATGTGCCTGGAGAATCAACCCTCCGACGTGATTTCCTGAGACTGCAGCAGGAAAACAAGGAACGGTCCGAGGCCCTTCGGAGACAGCAGCTGCTGCAGGAGCAGCAGCTCCGCGAGCAGGAGGAGTACAAGAGGCAGCTGTTGGCAGAGAGGCAGAAGCGCATTGAGCAGCAGAAGGAGCAGAGGAGACGGCTAGAAGAGGTAGAGACAGGAGGCTGGTGTTCAGAAGCCTCTCTTCCACTTACATTTCTCATTCCCATGCCCGTTTGTAAAGAGTTCCCTGTAGCCCCAGGAAATGTAGGGAAAGGAAACGACATGTGCAAATCCACTAGCAAATGTAGAGCAAAGCACTTAAATCCATGTCTAGCTACTTGAGTAAAAACCACCTTCCAAAACATTTGAATATCCAGCAGCTCCTATGGAGGCAACAGGAGCCAGAGCTGAGCTGTTTGAAGGTACCTGGAGGGAGGGTCTGTCTTGGTCTCTCTTCCAAAGAAGAGGCAACATGTCTAGACTTCAAATAGCTGTAGAGAAGGGGAGACAATAATTATTCCCAGGTGAATTTTTCTCAAGATTACTTTTTTGGGGGCCATGACATGCTTTAAATTGCCCTTTAAAGATTTCTCCAGCATCTGTGTTTGGCACTCATTCATGGGTAGGTAAAAGCCTAATTTTTTAATGTATTATTCTCTCATGCATAGTAGCATTATGACTATAAAAGCCACCTAGATTTCCAAATATGATATATAAATCAGTGTTAAAATTATAATTCTGCAAAAATTACAAATATGTAAATGATGCTTCTGTGATATGGTAAGTATGCAATTTGCATACACTACTGGAAGATAAAAGAAAATGAACCTACATGTCCAATATTGTTCTGTCATACTTTTCACCTCCTCAGATCTCATGTGTGTTTATATATATGTAGATGGAATATGCAGTGTGAGCTTCAGAGGCAGGAGGATTTGAAAACATTTCTTCAGGCCAGAGCTGGGTATGACACAGAGTGAAGTGAAAGCAATCCTCTCGTTCCTCAGGAAGTGCAGGGTCAAATTCCAGTTGTCCTTAAATGACCTTTTGTTTGAGTCTCTGTTTCAGCTCTTCACTTAGCAATGATGGAAAAACTACACCCAGTCTGGTTTTCCAAATCCCGGTAATGTTTAATGAGGATGCAGCCAGGACCAAATGTTGATTTGCATCCCGTGACGTGTTTACATAACAAATGATACAAAGTTCCAAATAGCTTTCCAGCTCACATCATGCTCCTTATCCCTCTTTTTCAGTGTGCAAGGAGGTTTAGTGCTGCTATAAGGAGGGACTGGTAGCAAAGACTCAGCCACACGTGAAGCCAGGAGGAGGGACAAGGGGGAGGCATATAACTCCGTTTCTCTTCTGTTTCTTCTCCACCCTTCTGAGGTCGCCAAGATAAACATCATAGTGCTTCCAGTTGGTTTTAGACTCTGGCTCTGTAGCAATTTTGTGGAGGGAGCACATAATAAAAAGAGGCTAGGAAAATATGAAAACGGAACATTGATATTGTCAAAGGGGGGCAAAAGTGAAGATACTCCTTAGCCTGTAATTTTTTCTCTTAGTATGAGAGTCAATAGTTTCTTTTAAATGCCCATTCAATCTCTGGGGTTCTGCAGGCAGTACTTTTATGGTGAGGAAGGGGATTACAATTAAATTATCTAGGTCATTTGACTTTGATAATCAGTGCAACTCTTAAAATCTGGAATTTCTTTTTAACATAAAGGAGATGCTGCTGCTGGCAGTTGAAACAAAGCAATGCACCTTTTGCTGCACAGGGTTGAACTTTTGGGGATGTTGCAGAAATCATAATTTAATGAGCAATTAAAAAGAAAAGGCAGTAACCTGAAAGTTAGGTTTGAATTGTCCTGCTTTTGAAAATACAAAACAAAACGGACAACTCCCACAGCCACAAGATGGCATGTAATGTAGGTTGATGCATTACTGAATAAGGTTGCACAGTGAACCATGTAAAGTTTGTAAGAGAAAAGCTTTTACCTTTTATTGAGTCTGTAACCTTAGCCTGGTTCCCTTGAAGACATGAATATGACTGATGAGCTATGAAGTTTTCCTTTTGTAGGTGGTGGGGTGGTCATATTGTTTTTAAAGCGAATTAAAAAAAGGGCTCACATTTAGCTTTCATAAATCCCTACTTAGTTCATTGGATCTTGTGTTGGAAAAATGTATGATCCCAAGTGATTTTTAACAAAACAACAGCCAAGACGAGCTCTTTAATATGGGGGAAGGGTGGTAGACAGATATTTAGATAAACATCAGTGTTGTGACACAATTGAAGGCCAAAATATTGAAATGTTGTCACTTTGTCCTTAACTCACCCCCCTTGTTTTGATGAAGCCAGTAAACAATGAAGAGCTTGGTAATGTGAGTTAAGATTAGTGTCAGATATTGAATCTCTGGGTTTCTATCACTTTCATGATATTTTTGCCAAGCCTTGCTTTCTTGTAATGTTTCCTTGTCTTACGTGTATGTTTGGATATACCTGTTTAACATTCTTTCGGAAGAATTTTATGTATTAGATAATCTCCCTGGACAAGTTGCTTATACTTCCCTCCCTTCTTCCCCACCTCCCCCACTACTTCCTAAATTAAAATTGAGGGCTTGTTCTTACAATGCTGGCACAGAGCCTAGACAGTTTTGACCAAGACTGCAACAGGAACGGAGTTTAGGACATCTGCCAAGATCTGTAATTCTCAGCAGTATTAGAGAAAAGATTGGGTTTTAAAAGGCATATAGGTGACTTCTAAAACTCATTGTTGCAGGAGCCTTATAATTTGTATATTACTGAGGAGGTGGAAATGGTACATGGACGAAGTATAGAAAATTACCTGAAACTTTTCAGGAAGGGGATTATTTGTCTTCCCTCTGACACCCCAACTCCCCCACCCCCCCCCACCTTTAAGAATCATACAAAGACTAGCTGTATAAATATCAGCTATATGGCATATAAGTGTTCAGGTAGTTAAAACAAGAAATCTGGTTGTTCTAAGATGTGTCTGTGTTTCTCTTCAGCAACATGGAGACCAGTGTGATGGGTATTGAAAGGCATTTGAACTTATACTCTGCAAACCTGAGCCTGGTTAGGGAAATTCAGAATGTACTGTGGTGGAATCCTATTCTCTGTGGACCTCCGCAGTTCAGGATAACTTCATTAAATCGTGTGTCTGTCCCTGGTTATGAGAAACTAAGATGGATGTTTTTGAAGTGGTAGGTTATAGCTCCATTGGCAAGTAGTACAGTCCTGTAGAAGCAGATTTGTGGAGCACAGTAATTAAAGTGCTGAGGACCCAAGGACTTCACTCCATGTGTTTAAAGACAGGAGGAGTTCCTTTGGACTAGCTGAGGTCTAGACTGCATGCCTGCTTGTGGTTGGAGTGCATCTGCCTTTTTAATTTCATCCAAAAGGAGTGGTTGGCACACCAAGACATCTTCAAAATACGAAACAAAACTGGGTAAGTGGAGATGATTGGATGATTCACTTCAAAAGAGCACTCCTGATCTGAACCAAGATGCTAATGTAGGTGTACCCACAGGCGATTTTTTACCAGGGCTTTGTTTCTTTTACAGAAGGGGAGATTATTCATATCTACTTCATTTGAATTGCTTGCAGTTTGGATTGGTACTGAGTAAGAAGTTCTGCTTCTGGTTTCTCTCTAGTGTGGGCAAAGCAAAAGTCTCTTTATTAATTTTTCCAATCCTCTTCATAAGCTGCTACCAGGTTACCTAATTCTTTGTGAAAGAAATAATTAATATATGTATTTATCAACCTTCATCTGGATATAAAAGAGATTAATAAAATTTTATTAATATAATATTAGAGGATCTGTATTTATGTTCAGCATTTCACTGCATGAACAAGGTCCTGAATTCGTTGGTATACACCAACTGCATGTGTAGTTGCATTGCCCTCTCCTGGTAAATCATGCTCTGCTGCATGGTCTTCCAGGTGGAGATGCTGGATTCCATTATGAGATCATCATTAATGCACCCTAAAACAAGACAATGAGTCAGTGTATTGACACTGTATTTTCCGTATGGGTTTTCGGTTGTTGGCATAGTAAATGCCCGTTTTGTGAAATGCAGTAGTTTGAGACAGTACGGGCTCTGTCTAAATTCTGTTTTGGCAGCTCTGAAATTTCTTTGAAGAGTTCCTGCCCTCACCTTCTGGCTAACAGTTAGCTCCTTGAAAATAAGCTTTTCTTCTGACATGTAAAACAAAATTGGTAATACCAGATCCAACAAAAGAAAATGTGGATATGCATCCATCATTTCAGTGAATCCAGATCCGTACCTGCTGTGTGTTGGCAACAGTGTTTTATATCAGGCCTTTTTTGTAGTGTATGGTAAAAATTGTAATATCTAACAATCACATTTACTAAATTCAGAAGCCCAAGTTTTACGAACAGAACTGACGTTTGTTTTAACTAGTGGTTTTCCCTGTCCCATTCCCCTCCTTTGGGCAAGCCTAAGGAACATGGTGACCAGGGCTTTGGTGCGTCCTTGTGGAAGACGTGCTAGAGCAGTCAGGAACGCAACCTTGTGCCAACAGAAGGATGGTAGGAAGTCAGCTAAAGGGCTGCTTCTAAAGCCAGTTTGGGTCAATGTCAGCTTGCCATCTACCAGTTTTGCCATTGCTTTGACAAGATACAGACAAGGACCCAAGAGATGCTTGTCGCTGTAGGTTTCCTTTCCCTGGGCTTGTTAAAAGTAAATTCCACTTTGTTAGCAGCCACTAGTTCAATGCTCAGGTTTCAAAGGCCATGTGCAGACGAAGTGAAACCTTTCTTTTATGGCTGGGGCTGGGATAAGGGGATTGTATGGGGTGTCTGTGCAGGCTCCTGTAATGCCAAGTGCCTCCCTTCCCACCTGCTTGGCGAGGGGCTAAGACGGTGTCTGACAGGAAGGCGGAAGCAATGCTGAGAAACCCCATCTCTCTGTGTACTTTGGCGCATAGACAGTAGCACATTTGTGCTTTGGAGATTTCACTTAAATGCACATCAGTGGCAGAGAATCCTTTTTAATTTCTTTTGCTGGGTGATAAATATTTACTGTCGGTGCTGAGCGGGCAATCTGGCTCAAGGTTTGCTAAAAAATCTCATCTTTTAACAACTGATTTTGTTTATTTCATGATGCCATGGGAAATCAGCTCTCTTGGTCAATTTGTAACTTACTTTTCTCATATTAAGTTCAGTTATTTATAATTATTACTGAATACTTCTGTGCTGATTCAAGAAGCGATGAATTTGTTTCATCCAAAGGACCTAAACTCTGTCCATCTTCCTTATAGTGAGAATGATGCCATCCCAAGATCTGCAATATATCCACTTAACAATGTCATCACAATATTGTTAAACAGACAGGCTTCATATGTTTAAGAAGTGTTAAGGGTTGATAAATGTGCGTATTAACCAGTCAGCAGTGTGCTGTCTCTTGCATCCTCAAGGCAAAAGAATTACTGTACTTCACATCTTAGTTTTCTTAAACAAAGAGCCTGTCAGACTCGATTAGCCAAGCAGCACCTGAATACATTGACTTAAATATAGAAATTGTTTGACACAGATGTGTATATTCAGAAATAAAAGTGCCTACTTAATCCTTTTACGGTGCTTAAGAAATGAAAGAGTGAAACCTATGAAATGCATTGCGTGTCGTAGCTGCCTTGCAGCACTTTTACTATTTTTGAATCTACATTCATTGAAGAGAGCTTGTTTAAGCAAGAGAGAAAAGGCTGGTAGATGGATTTGGTTGGGAGAGGAGGCGCAAGAGCAAGGGAGCTGTTTCTGAGAAGATACAGAAAATGTGGTGCAGCTAGTTAAACAGAATCAGAAAGCAGCCTCTTTTATTTAAGTTCTACTAATTCTTAGCCATCTTTCTTTTCCCCCCCCCAATATTTCTTTTCCACTGTCGTGTCAGGATTGATTCCAGAAGATGGAAAAGGCTGTTGAGCTTTCAGTTACTTCATAGTCATGCAGGGTAATGTGCCGAGCAGAGAAAGCTCATCCTGTGAAGTAACACAGGGAGCGTCGATTGGCCGTTGCTTGTTCAGCTGAGCACAACTATGAAATGCACACTAGTAACTGGATTTGTGAACCCAAATAAAAGCTTAGTCTGCGTGCTCTTGCAAGTCTACTTGGAGTGCCGTAAGGCTGACAAATCTATGGCAGCTTTTCTTCAACAGAAACCGATGATTGTATTAACCTTACCTGAATGGGAAAAGGAATAACCAATGTAGGCTTGCATTTTCTTGGGATTAAATTTGAGTGTGCTTCTTTTTGTTTAAATTTCTTGTATGATTTTTTAGTATATTATAGAAATCTATCATGGAAGTAAATATTCTCGGTAGATGGTTTAACAGGAGACAGCTGGGTCTTTTGACACTTAGGCAGTTGTGGGAGGCTGCCTGGGATTTCGAGGTAGGTGGAGTAACTGGATGTTTCTGTAGAAGTGCAGGAAGAGTTGGTCACGACTGTATGGGCATTTAAAAATGGCTCCTCTGAAGTCATTCATGGTGCTCTATAGACATAAATGAGTCAGTTCATGGTCTCTAGAGCTGTTCTCCAGGTTCTTTTCAGACTTGATCAGACTTACCAGCACCAGTTGGTATTTGGGTCGTGCATGGAAGCTTATCTGTGTAAGTGTAAAACCTAGCTCAGCTCTTTTTCCTCCTTTATGTATAGGTGCTTCTGATGTTTAGGGAGGGGCTGAGGTGCTGTTGGTCAGCCTGCCTTTTCTCTTAGTCAAAGTTTTGGGCAGTGCATTAAATTGAGCTTGGTCGTTGGGCCAACACCACCAAATTCTTAGCAGACCATGGATTGTGTTAAGAGAGAAGCTGCTTACCAAAAGCTCAGACAGTTGTCATTTGAGTTTTAACTGATTCGGTAGGACTGATGATTACCTTTTGGCAACATTTAGATAATGTGTTGAAGTGAAGAAAATTGTCACTCTGATTAAGATTTGAGTTCAACAGTTGATCAAAGATTGAGATTTCAGTATAAGCCTCTCTTGAAGAGCAACAGTGGACTTCCACGCGTCAGTTGTCAGGAATATGGTACGTGACTTTGTGTGTGTGCACAAAGAAACCAGAAAGAATAAGCGAGGCTGCTTTTAGGGATAGTCGTGTGCTGCGTATGAGTTAGTTTCCTGGTGGAACACTTGCATATACTGTTTTGTCACTCAGTTGCAGAGCTTGCCAGTCCTGGTAAATCTCTCTCTTCACAGTAGAAAACAACCCCACCTCTTTCTTTGACAACAACAAAAGTAAAACTTTGTGGTTTCTTTTCCCCTTTGTAGCAACAAAGAAGAGAACGGGAAGCTCGAAGGCAACAAGAGCGTGAGCAAAGGCGGAGAGAACAGGAGGAAAAAAGACGTCTGGAAGAAATGGAGAGGAGGCGTAAGGAAGAGGAAGAGAGAAGAAGAGCAGAGGAGGAAAAAAGGAGAGTAGAAAGGGAGCAGGTGAGTCCATGATACAGATATATGTGTAATAGGTTTGTTTCTTCTAAATTCTAATTTAATTTTTTAAAAATTAGTGAGCATAAATCAGCTTGGGCAACCTAACTCTGACCCTTTCATCTTTGTTGTCTCTGACAGCAAATGCACTAACATAGATCATAGGGCTTTATGGAAAATTCTGGCAGCCTCAATATTCCCTCAAAAAAGGAAGCCTTGTTGCAGTACTCATTCTAAATTCAGCTCGTGCCCCTGGGCTTGGCTAAAACCATCAGAATTGGTGAAATCATCACTGGGGCTGAAAATTGTTTCTAGGCTTGTCTTGCTGGATCAGTGGTTCTTGCAGGACATGCCCCTATTCAGAAGGCCTCCCAGAGAATGGCAGCTCTGTTGCGTGTCAGCTTTTGGCACCCAGAATTGGTCAGAGGCTGGTCGTAAACTTCTGAATATTCTGAATTTGAGGTGGAACCTTTGAGCTGCCAAGGGTTTTCCTTCCTAAAACTTAAATATGCAGTCTTCCTCTCTTGCTCTATTAAAAATCAGCTCTAATAACGTATGCCAGTTCAAGCAGCAAGTATATGTTTAAGTTGTGTCATTGTGTCCTTAATACATTGAAAGTACAGGTGAGAAACCTTTTAAACAGTGAAATTCAGCTACTATATTTATGCATGAAATCTGCATGTTTTAAAATCCTTTAAAAACTTGAATCAGGGTGATAATCAGGGTAGTAATTACTGTGCATGTACTGCAGAATGCTGATACCAAATAAAGGGCCAAAACTACTGTCCTAGAGGCTGATTGTAAATTTCCCATTAACTTCAGGAATGCTGGTTTTGGCCTGATAACACCTTAAATTTTTTCTTACATAAAGTAACTGTATTTTCGATCATTGGTGGTTGTGTTACTGGGAAATTTTATTGTGTTTGTATATATTCCAAAAAAAAATTTTGAGTCAAATGGAGAGAAGACTAACCAATGGGAATAAATGTATGGAAAAATCTCTAATTACAGCACAGCAATTTGCTTTTGGGCAGACACCGGGTATTCCCCCAGCTGCTTTTTAAACTGTTGAAATGCTAATTACGCACAGTGCCAATAATGACAAATGGTTAATTA